CATGTCCCTGCTGAGCTCACGCCACATAGGAGGGCTGCTTTCCATGCAGATTTATAGTCTCCAGCATTTTTAGGGAACATTCAGGCCAGGAAACATTGAAGAGACTTGTTTTTAAACATTTGCCCTTACTTGTTTTACTTGTACATTGCATTCCCCACTGCCTTTGTGGTGTCATTGAAATGACCAGCTGCGGACTAGTCATCACATGCTGCTCTCCCATTTATCCCCTTCCCACTCCCCCTTTCTTTGCTGGGTTATTTGGGTAGCTCGCATGACTGTCCATTGCACCAGGAAGGGTAGGGAGCAACATACGTACCATGCACAAGCCCAGCAGACACTTGTGTGTTGTACCTGAAGGTCTGGGAAGGTGTGAGGCCCTCTGTCCACACATGATCCAAGTCTCTGTGGCATCTCTAGATGCCGCACATGGATGGGATCAGCCCTTGCCCTACAGTTGCTCAGGACAATTGCCCCCTACTTCTGCTAGCCATGAACTGCAAACACAGGATGAAATAATTCCTTGCAATTCTCTGGAGTGTGGCTGGGTCTAGGTCACACGGGGTTTGGGCAGAGGTGGTGGAGTCCTGGAATTCAAGGAGAAATAACTAGACTAGACTCGATCTTTAATGCCCCGTCTCTACTGTCTAGAGCAGGCTTAGCTGGAGGTGTGTGATATTCTGCATTAGCAGATGTGGCATATTGCACTCCATGAAAGTCCCATGTTAATCCCATGGTCCACAGTGGGTTAATCCCGCTGTGGGCTGAGACAACTCAATATGAGACATCACCCTCCATATAGTGCATGCGGCTAATGGGGATACTGCCCTTAGTTTGACTCAGTGCTCGGTCCCGAGGGTTAAATGTTGCTAGTGATGCGCCAGCATGTTAATGGTCAAAGATCAGCTTCCACTCTGAAATCTGAGTCTCACCTGTGCCTTTTCTGATATTTAGTATTCTGTCTCAAAACATGGCTGCTATCCCTTCAAACACCTCATCCTTCTCTGAATCATCCTATGTGGTCAGCCTCTGCCTCAACACCCTGTGCCTTAGACTGCCTGAACGGCCATGGGGACACCAGTCGATCCATCTTAACCACAGCGCCTTTGTCTCTAAAGAGAAGGGGAAAAGAGAAAGCCTGCATCTCCAAATGTGCTGTGAAGCTGTGTTCACTAACGTAAAGCACCCTGTGATCCACCAGGAGATGTTCAGAACAATGTCATGGAATTAACCCTGCCCTTCAAGCCCCACAGGTTCTTCCTGTTTTCTGCCTCCACGACTATATTTTCCTTCACTTTGCACATCACCAGCAACATTTAACCCTTGGGGCCGAGCACTGAGTCGAACTAAGGGCAGTATCCCCATTACTGGAGGGTGATGTCTCATATTGGGTTGTCTCAGCCCACAGCGGGATGCATTCTGCACCCTGCCAAAGAGCAGCACCTATTCACAGCCCTTCCTAAGCAGTGTCTCATTTTGCTTATGGTTAAAGACACAGAAACTCTGCAAACCTGGAGGCTTCGCTTCCAGTCAATGTTTTGCAAAGGCCATGAAAGGCACATTCAACATCCCAGGAAGATGGGTCCTTGTCGAGACAGTGTGGGAAGGAGACCAGCAGTGAACTCACTGGCGAAGAGCTAGTCTTGTTGAAGCTGCTGGAAATAAAAAAATCTTCCCCCGAAGTAATAATCATTCCGAAACTTGCAGGAACATTGTCACACAGCTGTGCCGAGTCACGAACTCCCGGCTCGCAGCAAGACTGCTGCGTCTCTGCTCCTGGCAGGAGGGACCTCGCAGAGCTCAGCCGCTGCATCCAGCTGAGCTCCTGCATTTCCCATCGGGAAGGAGTTAAGAGCTTGATGAGACCTATAGGAACATGCCACACATGGTGGGACTCAGTCAGGGATGCAGGCATCTAAAAGGTAGCTACCACACGTGGCAGTTGCCTGAGCTCCCACTGTGGCCAGTGGGGCTTGATTTAGTTGCCAAAATCTGGATGTCCTAGAGTCATCTCCAGGTACCCCACCAGCAGGTATGGTTTTGTACCATATCTGCCAAGCCCATGTAGATGTCCCAGAGCATCTCAAGTGGTACCAGACACCCGTGTCTAGGTGACTGAATCAGCCCTAAGTATGATGTGAAGTTGAATCCCACCCTTTACACCTTCTGTTGCTCTTTCCCATACAAAACTTGCCACCCTTTGAACAGCAGGGATCTGAGAGGGAATCTCTGAGGGATCTGAGAGCCCTTGTAGGAATGTTTGGGTATCCCAGACCCAGAACAGGAAGGTCTGACACCCAGAGCCGACCAGAGCAAGATTCGGTTGTGCTCACACAGCTCTGAGCTGGTGTTGAGTGCAGGTGTGGACCGCTGTGTGCCAGCCCAGCTCCACGCCAGCATGCGATGCAGGACTGTAGGACGGGCAAATGTCCCTTGTGGCTGGGGAGCAAGAACTCCTTTCAGCTATCCTGGCTATCATCGGGGAGATGAGGAGTCCTGCCATCTGTCCGGCTCCACTTTACATTTTTCATTTGCTGCTGTCTTTGGGAGAAGAGAGAATGGAAGCTTTTCGGCCCCAGTGCTTTGCCTTTAGACTGGGGCTCCCGCGGGAACAGTAATCGGCCACTGTGAATGACAAGGAAAGCTCTACCACTCTCCAGCAAACTGAACTCCGACCTGGGGTGAAATACAGTCATTCGCTCTAATGACGGGACAAGTATTAATGCTGGTAGTAGGCAGCTGATCGACCCGGAGGGTGCCCGGAGCCCCTGTCACCACTGCGTGCTGCATGTCACTGGTTTGAAAGATGCGGGGGGGTTTACAGGGTCAGTGGGGTCTGGAGAGGAGGTCCTGCAGGAGAGCAGATGTTTTGGGTATGACCGCACTAACAGATCAGGCCTCCTCTTCTCGGCTGACTCCCGGCTCCCAAACAGCCGCTCGCACACGTGTTGGTTGTTGATTCTTGCGCTCCTTTCTGCAGCGCTGTCTGTCGTCAGTACAGCTGGGTTCACACCACGTTCGGCTCCTTCCTCTAGCAGGCCTTGCGTTGTAAAGACCCCACGCACGCCCTGAGCCACGTCCCAGGCGTGCAAAGCACCCTCTCGGACTTGTGCCATATAAGCCCAACTCTGATGGGCTGCAGCCTGGCCTGCACCTTGTTTCAATCACTTTGGAATTAAAATAACATCATCATCAATAATAGAAGATGATAATAATAATTATTGTGCTAGTGAGCGTGAATGTGACTAATCCAGTCTAGAAGGACTTATGCTGAGCACTGCGAACACAAGTCATACCAACACCTCTCTGCACCCACCAGGGACCAAAGATCACTCCCTGGGAAAGACATCCCTTAGCTGTGAAGTGACCTTTGGTCACCCAGACGTGGACTGCAGAAATGAGCCTCTCCTTTGTCCTTCCCTGGAGATTTTTGTTGCCCTGCTGAAGATGCTGCAGGGCTGCTTCTCAGAGGTTCAGCTGCAGGAGTGATAGAGCCAAAAGGGCTTCTCAGGTCTGTCTTCTTCCTCACGCTCACAGTGAAGGAGAGTTTCAGAAGAGCAACCTCTGTTGAGAAAGAGGCTACCACGCCGAAGTTGTGTGCGAGGTTCCCTGGCTCTGCATTTAAGCCAGCAGGTCTTCCATTATGCCACCATATCTCATAGTCTGGTCTCTGCAGAAAGACAGTCCCCCCAAAATGACTGCTAGCACTTGGAAAAATTTTAGACTCTGCTTGTAGAGATTTATAATCTCTAGATTCTGCTTGTAGAGATTTATAATCACTGTAACAGAGCAAATATCTACAGAGGTGGTTTTCTTTTGCTACTTTTTAAAAATGCACATGGTTTCCAGCCACAGTGTAGGGCACTGCTGGGGCCAGCAAGTGTTCTATGTTAGTAAACTTTCCCCACGCACGCAGGATGAGGGTTTCAGAGTCACTGTGGAAGGGCCCACTTCTGCTTCTGATCCTACATGACAGATACGTACTTTTCAACACATAAAGCTTTGCCTTTTCAAACGTTAGAAAAGGCAGACCATCAACCCGGGTGATGTATTAGACTTTTCACAGCCCAGCAGGCTTGTAACAACTTACTCTGGAAATATGATCCAGACAAAGGGAAAAAAACCCACTGCTAAGCTGTACTGAAATTTATACTGACATAGGCTGGAAGTTCCTGCTCTGTAGCAACATCTAGTGATGTTTTTTCACACAAAAAAACAACCCCAGGGTTCAAATTATAAACCCATTATAAGGAGAGAATAGCAGGTTGGAGTGGTAGATCATTGAGTAGCTCCCCTGAGGTCAAAAGGCACCTGAATCTAGATGCAGATCTAGATGTGGTTTAGCCATAGTCACAAGTTTATGGCTGAAGAAGACAATTTTCCTGAACCCCCTTTCTGTATCTCCTTCCGTACCTCCCAGTTGAACCACTGACCTTGGCACAAAGTTTATAGGGGATAACAGGGACATGGGGACCTTGGATAATGCTGAGAAGGGACACGCAGCCCTTGACCTTGTCTCTCCCGCTAACTGCAATTCTGGTTGTGCTGGCAGAGTGGTTCAGCTCCTTGTCAGTCCTGCGTTTGTACGAACTGGTGAGACTGCAGTCACTTGTTTTGTCCAGAGGATATGGTGGGGTTGAGAGAGTTCACATGGGAGATGTGGAGCTGTGGGAAGACCATCATGACCTAAGCAGTGTCTGATTGCTCTGGCTGGAGATGTGCTATTGATTGCCATATTGCTTCCTTGGGGCTGTTGACCATGGTGTAGGCAGGTCTTAACCAAGCTTCGACAAGCCCAGTTAAGCTCTGATGAACTTTTATCCTCTCCACCTGCCTTGGAGACAGGGAGCCTTGTAGCTTTGCAGTCTGGTGGGACTTGCCCTGAGAAGGCATCAGCAAGGGCTGGGAGAGTTGTCTGCAGCTGTAGGCAGTTGAGGAAACAGGAGGTAGCCAGTCCCTGAGTCTTCTTGTTCTCACAGTTCCTTCTTCTGCTCATTCTCCAGGTGCCTATTCCTTGTCTGTGAGAGACAGCAATTCCGCTCATGGGGACATCATCAAGCACTACAGGATCCGCTCCTTAGATGGTGGGGGGTATTACATCTCCCCCAGGATGACTTTCTCCAATCTGCCAGAGCTAATCCATCATTACAGCCGTAAGTTTCTTGCCTTCTCTAATGGGTTTGTCTCCTAGCAGAAGGTGGGCCTGAGTGCAGAGGGAGGACGGGCTTACGAGCCACCACCATCACTCCACCCACTCTCATGGGCCAGGTGGGCTTCTCCAAGCAGACCTTGGGCACCCGTGTCCCATCTTTCATCCTAGAGCACGGTGAGGGTGAGCTCTGCCCATAGCTCTATCACCAGGGCATTTTTCCCACCAGCAAAGGAAGGAGATGAATGCTGAAGGGATATGCAGAAGGGATGCTTGGAAAGCAGAATTTGGACTTGCTGGGCAGGAGAACCTTCTCCTCTATGGCTCCCTTTGAGCTTTTTCCTTTCATTGGGTCCATTCTGGGTGCCTTGATCCCCATGGCTGAAACATATGTGTGGCTGTGGAGGTTTCCCATGGGTTGACTTTTTCCTGGCTTTTGCAGATGGAGGAGGTTAGCTCTGGGGTTGAAAGTTCAGCGCATCCTATTGAGCTGTCCTGTGCTTTGTCCTTACACAGAGAAGGGGGATGGCCTGTGCCAGCGGCTCACAGCTCCCTGCATAGCCCTGGCTCCCCAGAGGCCCTGGGCACAGGACGAATGGGAGATCCCACGGGAGTCTCTGAAACTTGTAAAGAAACTTGGCAGTGGGCAGTTTGGGGAAGTGTGGATGGGTAAGTATAATTCCCCCCGTTCCAGGAAAGTAATATATAAACAGA